AATGTCAATACAATCAACATTTTTGATTCCTGTTTTATGCACCTTTCCCTTGATGTATAAATATATGTACATATACACAAGCTACCATCCTTTAGTAAGGCTGCTTTAAAAAGAAGTAAACATTTGAGCACACACCCATAGAGCCTGGCTCAATGTCTCAGCCAGAGCAGAAAGCGAAGTGCTCGGGTGGCTGCTGATGCAAAGACATCAGCACAGCATGAACGTTTCCACTGATGAACAGAGCTTCACTTGCTTCACTAAAATTACACCACTCCCCACCCGTGAAGGACTGAGCTGGAAGAGCTCAGACCAGGCAGTGACAAGCAAAGGCTGGCTCTGTCACCCTAGCCTCCCTCCCAGCCAGCATTAAAAGCTTTAGAGCTAAACCACCAGAGGTATTGCCAGAGACCAACGATGGGCAAGACTAAAAGTAGCTCCTTCCCACTGTATTCCCCAGCACAAAATACTTTTGTTGACCTGTGAAGACCTCTGTGTCCTGAGGCATGAAATCCATGAACAGAACTCTCTGAACATCACAAAACCTTTATTAGTGTTTATCAGTGATACAGATTACAGGAACCAAAGGCAATTAAATAACACTTAAGCTGACCACAGACTCAAGAAATACAAGTCACATTTGGCAAGGCAAACTTCTCAGTACACTGGATTGCTTAGGTTATTATTACACCGTGAAAGAGGAATTTCCCTTACAAGATTCTACATATTCAGGATATTATTATTAATTGTTATTACTGTGTCTTTCAGACAGCTCCTTTGGCAAGAATTCCCATTTTTAAGTACTTATTATATAAAAATATAATGAATTTTCATTATGTACAAACATTACATTACACAATGTACAGGTTAAAAACACTACAAAAAATGGCAGGCCATGGGTAAACCAAAAGCAAAAGAAAAAACCCCAATGTAGAAAACACAAAAAAAATTTAAATACTGCACATTTCATAAAAATTACATTAACTACAAACAAATATTTTTGTTTGCAAATATCAAACAGTACTGATCTGATTGGAAATCTTTCCCAAACGACTTCATTTTTAAGGCACATCTTGCATATTTACACATATGACACTGGATCTGGTCAATAACTTAAAGGCTCTCGGGAGTGACCCAGTTGTGTGCGCAGGGAGGGCTGCGCTCGAGGGGGGGCACGCTGGGCTATGCCTTCTCAGTTGTCTCAGTCTGGGGGCCCAGGTATCTAGTTGAGGGGGCTGGGAACAGGGGCACCCCAATCTCCTGAAGGTCAGGGAGCCGTGCAGGGCGTGGCGGGGAGAGGAGCGTGATCGTCCGGTCAAAGTCCCTATGCAGCACCTTCTCATAGACGCTCTGAAGCCCAACTGTTTTGGGCAGCTGGGCTTGATAAAAGTTGTCCCTGCGAAGGGGATCCCTTGGCAAGGACGTGCTCTTGCAGAAGGTGGAGAGGGGTGCTGAAGGATATGGAGAGGGGTGAGGGTTGGCTCGGCCACAGGAGGGGCTCCAGCAGCGGTCGGAATGCCCCAGGATCTTGCATTCAGCTGTGCATGCCCACAGACCTAGAGAGAGGGGAGGAGAAACCTGTCATTACTGCAGGAATAAATCCACACCGTTCACAGAGTTACCAGTCACAGGATGATTCATTGCACTGACAGTAGGAGTGGGGAGGCAATGCTTTACAGTACAACAAAAATCCAGATTTGGTTAGGTAATATTGTTTTGTTAGGGACACTCCTCACAAAAAGGGAATCTATTTTTAGGAAAAAAATCCAATCCTACAGCACTTCTGGCAAATCCTTATTTGCGCTGGGCTCTCAGTGCAGAGATGAACCAACACCTAACAGCCTGCTACAAGGAGATGGGCAGTTTGAGCCATGCAGCATCTGGCTTCCCCTTCTAGCTGCCCTGCCTGATCACTGTGCCCCACAGATGGGTCCCTGCATCCACCTCCCCATCCACCCATCTTTCTGTCTGAGGTCCAGTGGGGAGCAGGGGCAGAGCCCTTACCGTTCTGCATGTGTGTGATGAGGTCTTTCTTCAGGGCATCTCCGCTGATATCCGAGTCGCTGTCGTTAAAATCACTGTCGCCTTTGCCGCTGTCTTTGCCACTGAACTTCTCTGCCTCCCGGCCGGAGATGGTGTTGAAGGAGTGTCCCTTCCAAATGGCCACGGGGGGAGCAGGCTCCTTGTTGTAGCTCGGAGCGGCAGCAAAACCCTGCTGGTGGGGAGGAAAATCAAAGGAGACATGAGAGAGGGAAGCAGTGAAAAGTAAACCAACATTAACTGCACCTCTGCAATTCACATCCTCCAAGACACCACCCAGCCCTTAGCCCCACTTCCCTGTGGTGGGACCTTACCTCCCCACTCTGTCCCCTCAGCCTCTTCTGACCCTCGTAGAGGCAAGTGCTGTCGCTGCCGCTCTCAGTGGTGGCGATCTCTTCAGTCGCTGGAGAGGGGTCAGGGCTGGTGAAAGAGGCTTTGCTGGGAAAGGTTCGTACCTCAAATATGTTTCCCCTCTGGCTGCCCTCCTCCTGATGGCCTTTCTCTAGGTGGGAGATGTCTATTTGGTCCTTCAGGGCAGCGTTGTTTTTGAGGTTCCCCTTCTTGCGCCTGTTGCAGGTGGTGGCAATGGTGATTATAGCCACCAGGAGGAGGGTGCAGCTGCCTGCCAGGACAATGATCACGATCAGAGGGATGTCCCACTGCAAAGCCTTTCCTTCCCAGGAGCTGGGCTTGGCTATGTCTTGGATACTGGATGGGGCAGTGGCAGTCACCAGGAAGTTGACTGTGGCAGTTGTGGCCAGGGGAGGTCTGCCATTGTCTGTCACAGTGAGGATGACCTTGAATAGCTGTCCCAGCTCTTCAGAGAGGTCACCCCTCAGCACAATGTCCCCACTACTTGGGTTGATGGTGAAGAGGTCTTGCTGGGACTCTTCCAGGAAGGCAAAGGTGAGCTCAGCATTGGCACCATCATCTGCATCTCGAGCTTTGATTTGGGCCACCAGGGAGTCACGGGTGGTCTTGCTGGACACACCGATTTCCACAGTCCCATTGGTGAGCACTGGGTGGATGATGACAGGAGGGTTGTCATTCTGGTCCACCATTCTCACTTTGACAACAGTGCTGCTGGAGAGCTGTGGGGAGCCACCATCAGTGGCCTGGATCCTCAGGTCCAACTGCTTGAGGATCTCGTAGTTGAATGTCCTGAGGGCATAGATAGCCCCAGTGGCAGGGTCCACTGAGACGTAGGTGGAGATGGGGGCCCCCATGACCTGCGTCTCTAGGAGCCGGTAGGTGACCTTACCATTGTGGCCAAGATCAGGGTCACGAGCCACCACTGTGGTGATATAGGCACCTGGGGGGTTGTTCTCTGGTACAGCCACCTCGTAGAGGGGCTTGGCGAAGAGCGGCGCGTTGTCATTCTCATCGCTCACCCGCACTGTGTACTGGCGCACAGTCTTGAAGGGCGGCGAGCCCAGGTCCTCAGCCACCACAGTGAGGTTGTACTCAGGGATGCGCTCACGGTCCAGTGCCGCTGTGGTGACGATCATGTAGCTGTCCTCGTAGGCTCGCTGCAGGGCGAAGTGGTCGTGGCCACGGAGGCTGCAGCGCACCTGCCCGTTGGCACCCGAGTCGCGGTCTGTGGCGCTGACGAGGGCCACGAAGCTCTCAGTGGCTGCCGCCTCGCTGACGTAGGCCACGCCGGCAGCACTGGCAGCACCACGGAGGGCGCTGATGCTGATGCGCGGAGCGTTGTCGTTGACGTCGGTGAGGCGCACGACGACGGTGCAGGTGGCAGCACGGGGGCTGGCCCCGCGGTCCTGGGCACGCACGTCCAGCTCGTAGGTGCGGGTGCGCTCGTAGTCCACGGCAGCCTCCAACGTGAGGTGGCCTGAGCGTGGGTCGAGGCGGAAGAGCCGCCGTGCCTCAGGGGGCACCTGGCTGCTGAAGGCATAGACCACCTCACCATTGGGGCCCTCATCAGGGTCAGCAGCATCCAGATCGAGCAGCAGGGAGCCGGGCGGTGCATCCTCAGGCAGCTCCACCGTGACTGAGCTCTGGGCAAAGGTTGGACTGTTGTCATTGGCGTCAAGAACGCGGACATGCACGGTGGCTGTGCCCGAGCGTGCTGGACTGCCACCATCCTTGGCCACCAGCTCCAGGGTGTAGGAGGGCTGGCGCTCACGGTCCAGTTCCTGGAGCAGCACCAGGTCGGCACAGCGTGCCCCATCCGCCCGTGTCTGTGCCTCCACACCGAAGTGGCTGTTGAGGGAGACCTGGAAGCTCTGGATGGAGTTGGAGCCCACGTCCTCATCCACAGCCACCTCCAGTGGGAGGCGAGTGCCAGGTGCAGCACTCTCCGAAATCTCCAGCGCCATCTGGGCATGGGGGAAGCGCGGTGCATTGTCATTGATGTCACGCACCTCTAGCTCCACGTGCACCAGGCGGTAGCGCTCCCGCCAGCAGCTCACCACGTCGAAGGCCAGGACACACTGGGGGGTTTGGCCGCACAGCCGCTCCCGGTCCAGCCCCGCTTCACCGATGCTCAGCTGCCCGTCCTCCTCCCGCACCCGTACCAGCGAACTGTTGCTGAACTGCCGCATCAGGCGAAAGCTCATCTCCCCCGGCGCCTTCACCGGCATCTCGTCGGCCAGAGTACCGATCACCGTGCCCGGCGCGCCCTCCTCGTCGGTGCGATACCTCACCGTCTTGCAGCGGGACAGGGCCAGCAGGCAGGCGGCGGCCAGCAGCCGCAGGGGGCTCATGGCAGCGGCGCGGGGCTCAGCCCGACGGCGCGGCGCGGAGCGGGCGGGATGGGCGCGGGTCCGGCCGGGACACACCGGGATGGCTCCACCGCCGTCTGCGCCCCCCGCGCCGCCGCGCCGCCTTTCATAGACGGCGCTATGCAAATGAGCAGGCGGCGGAGCCAATGGGAGGCGGCGCAGCGCGGGCGGCGGGCGGCCCCCGGCGCTCCCCGGGCCGGGCCGGGAGCGGGGTCGCGGGGCGCTCGCCTTTGTTTTCTTTAACTCTGCGGGGTCTGGGGGGTTTCTTTTCTTTTTTCCTTCCCCCAACCCCCTTCCCCCGCACCGTCGCTATTTCTTTTCCCCCGTTTATTTATTTCTCATTTTCTCCCCCCTTTCCTCCCGCTCCCGTCTTTTCCCTCTCTCCGTAGGCGCGGCAGCGGAGGTGGCGCGGGGAGCGCGGAGTGCGGTGCGCGGTGGGATTTGTTAATCCGCCAGCAAGTCGGGACAGGTGCCGTGTCGTGGCATGCCGTGCCGTAGTATGTCGCGCCGTGTCGTGGCATGTCGCGCTGTGTCGCGGCGTGCCGCGGGGGCGCGGGGCGGGCGCGCATTAGCGGGGCGCGGGGGAGCGGCGGGGGCGGCATTCAGCTGCGCCCGGAGTGGTGTGTCACTCGCGTGAGAGCCTGTGATCAGCGCCGTAAGTCGCCTTTCAGGAGGTGTCCCCGCATGCTTTAGTATGCATGTCACCGCCCGGGTTTCTTAAGCCTGGGGCACTAGCAGGCGAGGAAGAAAAAAAGAAAAAAAGAGGTCCAAATAGGATTTAGCATAAGCTTGAGGAGATTTGGAAAGGTTTCAAAGATCAGGCAGTATCAAAGGCTTATGAAGCCCTCGTTAGCTGTAGAAATATAATAGCATGGCAGGCTATCCCATTCGAGGAACCAATGTCTGTATTATTTCACAGTGACAGGCTAAAGGGAGAGAAAGTTGAACAGTTTCCACAGAGGAGTTGGACTAAGTTGAATATAATGAGCAAACGCCACATGTATCCATTATGTCCCTCTATTCATTCCCAATCACTGCCATAACTCTTTGACTAAACGATGATGAGCGCTGAATTACACACAATGCCCTGCTCATATTAAAATACATTTAAGACCTATCCCTCCTGGTGCCCTGTTACGCCTATTCACAGGATTTTCTTTTTGTCCTAATAGGGCCTCTCTGGGAAGCAACACCAGTCTCGTTCCAGAAGAACAAAATAACAGCATGAGGCTGAAACCTGGCACGAACCGGGGGGAACGAAACCATCTGCCCCGCAAGGCACCGAGGCCCTGCGCGGAGCCCGCTGCAGCTTCCCAGCCCCGCAGTGCCTCAGAAGCCATGGGGCTGCCGGTCTTGGCCCGCAGGGAGAAGACTTGACGGGGAGGAAGATGGGGGTCCTGAGGGGCAACTGCTTCTCCGGGAAACCTCACGCCCTTCCTCTCCTCTCCTCTCCTCTCCTCTCTTCTCCTCTCCTCTCCTCTCCTCTCCTCTCCTCTCCTCTCCTCTCCTCTCCTCTCCTCTCCTCTCCTCTCCTCTCCTCTCCTCTCCTCTCCTCTCCTCTCCTCTCCTCTCCTCTCCTCTCCTCTCCTCTCCTCTCCTCTCCTCTCCTCTCCTCTCCTCTCCTCTCCTCTCCTCTCCTCTCCTCTCCTCTCCTCTCCTCTCCTCTCCTCTCCTCTCCTCTCCTCTCCTCTCCTCTCCTCTCCTCTCCTCTCCTCTCCTCTCCTCTCCTCTCCTCTCCTCTCCTCTCCTCTCCTCTCCTCTCCTCTCCTCTCCTCTCCTCTCCTCTCCTCTCCTCTCCTCTCCTCTCCCCGTATGTCAGGGGACCCAAGACATTGATTTTAAAGGAAGAGGGTGACAAACAGCATGCGGTCCGGTCCAACCCCGCGCCGGTTTCCTTTGGAAACCCTGGATAAAAGCGCTCGGCTCGGCGCGCGGAGCGCTGCCGCATCCCGGGGCTCCATCCCGGGCTGCGTGCGAGGTGCGCGGGGCGCTGCGCGGGGCGGCACGCGAGCGGGGGGCGGCGGGCTGCCCGCAGCGCCGGCTTATGGAAATGGGATTTAAATCGCGCCTCGGCCCTGGCTGCGGGGGCGCGGGGAGGGGGGCACGCTCCGCCGCCAACAAAAGCCCCCCGAACGCGCGGTTTCCATACGAACAAACCTCCGCGGAGCTCTTTTCTCCCGCCCGCGGGAGCTCCGCAGGCGGCCGCCCGGCGGGGCGGGGAGCTTGCGGGCCGGGCCGCCCCGAGCCGGGCCGGGGTCCGCACCGGGCAGAGGTCCGAGGTGTGGAGACTGGAAGCGGGCTGCCTGGGAACGGGGCCGCTGGTCGGGAGCGGGCAGTGGGCAGCGGGGCGGCCTCTCGTGTGTAACAGGATTATCTTTGCCATTTCAAGTTCCATACAGCATGTAATTTATTTTTAATTAGGATTAGATCGAGCAGAGAAGGAGACCAGACCTTTCCCCACACCTCCCCCTCCCCGCAAAGGCATGGCTATTCCACGAGGAGCTCTTATTCTTTACAAAAAAGCCAATCAATCGATAAACCAGGACCTGTGTTCACCTCCCACACACTTTGCAGGAGAAAAGGGTGAAAAGGGCTGTATTTTCAATGTATGCTCAAGTATCTGAATCAGAAGTGGAGGCTTGGAAATCCTTCCCTTTCCCATCTATCCAGTCCTGCTTTCACATGCTTTCTATCCAAACCCATTTTTAAGAGGGACTCAGTGGGGTCTTGCTCATCATGCCTTTTTTTTTTTTTTTTTTTTTTTTTTTTTTTTTTTTTTTTGTGTGTGTGTGTGTGTGTATGTGTATTTTGTTTTAGAGTTCAAATGCCCTTTCTGCCTGCTTGGGTTATTTTTTTTTTGCTGTAGTGACTTTGATTTAAAAAAAACCCCGAATGTATCAATCTCTCTATTCTCCCCAATAGACCTCACCACAGAAGTGTTCTGAAAGGCTAGTGAAGAATCCTGTTTTACAGCTCAAAATAAACATACGGATCAGCTGCATTAAAAGCACTTCTTTGAAATATTGTGGTTAAACAGCCCAGATTGGTTGATTGCTCCATGTGGGGACATATGTTCTTGCAAACTGTGTGTATTGTTACTAATGGGGATTCTCACACCACAGCCTCTCCTTTGAATCTGAGGCACTGGTGGTTTCTCTGGAGCTGTTGCAAGGTTGTTTTAATAATTTACCAGCTCTCTTGCACTTAGTGTTGTTGCGGAGACTCAGAGTGTGCAAAGAAGGAGGTGTTTTGCGGTGTCCAGAGGTCTGATCTCTGCTGCCAGGCTGCTCTTTGTACCTCTTTAGACACAGAAATCAAAGCTGCTCTGAGAGATGGGTGCCAGGCAGAGGAAAAAGCAAGGCTTCTCCACGCACCTCTGTGAACCTGGGATCTTGGGTAATGTGTTGCTCCCAAGGGGGGGGGGGGAGCACTCCTGGACCACCAGCCTGTTGCCAATATCAGTTAAGTGAGTGATTGCCAGCAAATCACTCCAGGTTTCTCCTTTTCAGCTTTGAACTTACTTCTTTTTTCCCCCAATTCAGATCTTGGAAATAAAGTTTGTGGCTGTTTATCCCTCTCCCCAGGTAGTTATTGCCCTACAAGGGGTGGCAAAACCCCGGAATCTCATCCCGTTCTTCATTCCTCCAGCTGAGCGATGACACTTAACTGCTTTTTCCCATCACTTACGGCACAGTAGGTTCACATAGGTGTCAAGGTGTCAAGTGTCCCAGTGCAGCAGGGTAAGAATTCCCTCCTCTCAACAGGTGCCTGGGATCCTGCCCAGGGATCTCTGTTCATGGAGATAAGCTTGAAGGTCCTATGTTTTAGAGGTGTGAGAGAAGCCAAGGTTCCTATTGAGCTCCATCTAGTATCTCAGGACCATGTGTACCTTGAGGGAGAGCGTGCAGCTTCATGCACGCACAGGGCGGTGTGCTTCCCTGTTGCACAATATATGTGCTTCCCTGTTCCCAGGCGATCTTAAGGGTATCAAGCCTTGGCTATTGAAAGTGCCCCTCTCTGGCCCTCTCAACATAGGCTGTATGGTGAGTGCATGCCCCAGGAGTGGTGAGGTGGGAGCCCCTTGTAGCCCAAGCCCTAGGGTGGTGTACCTGCCTCTCAGGAGAAGCCAGGCTACCTGGGCATGGTCTCCAGCTGGTCTTGCTCCCCCACATACCAGAGGATCTGTTTGACCCTCTTTCTAGACATGAAGTTGAGGTGCAGCATGTCCCCCCACCCCTTGTCTCTTAGCCTGCAGAGCTGGTAGCATGGCCCTCCCTCCCTGGAAACTCATCTCCATGCTCAGGCCTTCCTCTTTCTTCTTGGGCATCCCCAGGACTTGGCTGCCTTGGAGCGATCTACAAAAACAAAGGAATTCTTTCTGCTTCAGGGTCTAAACAATCCCCCCTGTTTAATCATTTCTGCTGAAACTAAGGAAGTGTGGGTTAACCTGTCAAGCTCCACAAGCCCGGGCTGACCAAAACCCCTGGAAAACAAAGGAGTGGAACGAACCGGCGAAGGGTTTTGTTGCTCTCTGGCTGTTTGTGTTGGAGGGTAGCATGTGGCATTGTGCTTCTGTCTCCAGCCATGTGGGCTATAGAAGACATGGCTGCAAACCTTTCCATGAGCTATGGGTTGGTACCAGGGTTATAAATCATTCTGATCATTTGTTTATTTGCTTCAAATGCTACCCTGCCTGCATCTCCCCTCTGTGAAATGTGGGTTAGAAGAAGGAGTTTGTTTTGCAGAAGAAAGAAATTGCATGCCTGTACCCCCCACTCAGCAAGCAGTTTTGATTCCACAGGGAATTTATTTTTTAATTGGATTAATTTCTAGCCTCTCCCAGAGTAGCAGCTGGGGTCTTTGATACAAGAGGTTAAAACAAAGGGGCATGAAACAAAAGAACAGTTTTCTGCATTCCCTACACTGCATGGGGCAAGCTGCCTGGAAGTATCCTTGGGGCAGTGCATTCCTAAAGGTCTCCCCATGTTGTCCTTAGGCAGGGTCTACTGCAGGTTTTTGGGGGTGTTTCCTGGTCTGTCTTGCTGGCAAGATATCTGAATATGAGATTTTGCCTCCTAACCCAGCTTATGTTCCCACATAACTTTACTCCTTGGTGTCCCTTTCCTTTTCTTCTCTTCCACCTACCCTCCCACTTCCCGCCCCTTTTCCAGCTCTCTTTATCCTCTATGTTTTCTGCCCCAGAAGTGATAAATGAGGCTTTTAAGCTGTTAAACCAGGAGGCAGGTTCACATGTTCAGTTCTGAACTATCTCATCTGGAGGAAGGCTCAGCCCCACCAAAGTCTGTGATATTTAGGTATTGAATTGTCATTGAATGCTGTGGAAGTTGGACATATTTAACTTGACTGAGGGCTTGAGGCTCTCTCAGGTTCAACCCCTCATGTCTACAGATGTGGGTGCATTGGACAGGTGACATCCCAAGTCCCACTCTTTGCCTACCAAGAGGACTGTTAGGAGATCAGAAATGCCCTTAGAGGTAACTACTTTTATTATGCACATCCCTTTGGCTATTTTGCCTTGGTGCCTTTGGTTTTAGGGAGTGCAGGTAGCAGAGCAGTTATTCATGTCTGTTCCCAGTCTGGACCTTTAGGAGAAGTGCTTACCTTCTCCATAGCTTGAGGTCTGCTCAGATCACTGGGATATTAAAGAGGGGAGTTGCACATCTTCTCTCCCTGGCTGTTGTGAATTGATGCTCCTGCTCCATGGCTGCTGCTACATGCCTGGCTGGGATGTCTTTCGTAGTACTTTGAAGGTGTCCGCACCGGTATATTTGGCTTTCCTCCAGCAGTTCCTTGTTTCCTCCTGGGTCTCATTCACACTCTCCTCCTTGAAGGACTGTTTGGAATTTTAGACTCTTACAAATGATGAATGGGTGGAAGAAATACACCTCTTAGCTCCCAGAAAGATGGACAGTCCTCTGCGAATACTTATGTGTGGTGGTTGTGATGAGCTCCACTGATTTCTCTGAGAAACAGCTCCCTGGCTATTTGGCGTGCAAAGTCCCTTTCTGCATGTCCTTCTGCTGCCCCTGCCCAGCCAGTGTCACCCACCCAGTGCCACACTAAACAAGTATGGCCCGGTCACTCTTTGGTCTCTACCACCTTCCTACAGTTTTGGAAGCCCTTCCCAGTAAGATCATATCCTTATACAAACACAAGGATAGTTACGTACATGCCAATATATTTTTACTAT